ATCTGTGATTCACTGTACTTTGCTTCCAGTCCGCCTTTGGTTCGAATTTGTACCTCTTCCTTTCACATAAGCTCGGTAATAATGGCTTGCCTGCTAGTTATATTAACTTTTTTTTTGTTACCTAACCAATAAACAGCGTGATGATGTTTTTGTAAATTTTTTTTGTCGAACTTTTTTGAACTATCCGAACTTCCTCACGGTTCTGTTTAGAGACTTCAATATTCAACATAACGACTACTTTTATTATTATTTATTTTAATTGCATGTAAGTTTTTACCCGGTGGCAGAGGTACTACAATAATATACGACAAATAACACACTACACACAATGAATACAATGAAAATACACTAACTGTAACATATAAAATTACAACTACAGTTATATAAATTAATATTAATATGTAGCAGAAATAAATATGTCCGTTTTCTTTCTTATGCTGATGTTACGTCACGAGTATGGCGTGAATATAGACGGGGTTTGGATTGGTAATCTGGTTTAGTATTATTATTCCAGACAACAGAAACTTAATAGTTACTATAGGATTCTGACGATGGTGTATAACACACTGATATATTGGGTTTTTGGACTTTATCCATCGTCCTGGTTTTTTAAGATAATCGTCCAGTGATTGAGGCTAGCTCTTTCTAATGGACCCAACAGAATAGGTGTTTTCCTTCACCTGAGGACGGAAACAGATCCAGTTTCCGAAACGTCGTGTTTTATTAGTTATCTTAAAAACCAGGACGACGGATAAAGTCCAAAAACCCAATATATCAACAGAAACTTAGTCAAGTAATTGTTCGTATTAAGTCTAAAAGCTTCAGAGAAGAAGAAGAATAAACAATCAACATAATGGCGTAAATGCAACTTAGATTGAAGGGAAATGGAATCTGAACACAAAATACCAGAGTTAAGAAGGGACATATATAAAGTTTAGCGAGTTACTTTTGTTTTATCAGCATGAACCCCACGTAGTTAAGGGTACAACAGTTTTGTAGAGACCCAATGCCTGTCTGCAAAATAAGACGGTTATAAACAATGGCACCACAACGAAAACTTTTATATTGTGGCATATAGACCCGTTGCTAGGCAACGACCGAGAGACAAACGAGACAACGGATATTGCTAGGCAACAGCTTCGTAAAAAACACTTGAGACTTAATTCATTTTTCCAAATATTAATAAATGAACTGCCAATTAAAGCGCTCTCTCCGATGGTTCTATATATGATAACACAAAATATAAATATATATTCACGATGTATGTGTGTGGCTATAGACGGGGTGTGGATTAGAGAGTGGACTTATTGACACAACTCGGAACTACAAGTAATTTCAGCGCTATCACTGATTTCCACATTTTACAAATCACTGAAAGCTAAGTCTTCTCAGTCTGCTTTCACTAGTCGTTTCCTGGTAACAGATGTTAACAATGGAGATTCTTCAGCTTCTAAGCTCACGTCGTTGTTGTCCGGCGAATACCCCACGGCAGAACTGTCGACTGACATGTAGCGCCGCCTCTTCTTAGCGTCCCTTGCAGAACTCGACTGACAACTGACCGGGCCGCCCCAATTATTTTCATTATAACTCCTTTGCACGAAACTAGTAGAAAACACCATTTCCAGCACTAACTTTATTGTTGCGTGCATATTCGTTGCAGCCGGAACGTGTTTACCGATCTGTTGCCTAGAAACGAGTTGCATAGCACCGTGTTTTATTCGCCTATTTCGCAGTCATTGCATAGCAACGGCTGTCCAAGCTACAATACGAACATATGTCTATGCTATAAAAATAAGAATTTTAATAGAAATGGGTATTTATGTGGGTACAATTTTGAAATATTTTACTGAATTTAGAAACGTCTTACCGAACAGGGTGGTCTAAAAGTAAATTTTAGACTTTTATTGGGGGAGCTCGGGTTCGAATATCAACCGGGATGCCGGTTATCCTGACTGAGATTTTCCATCGTTTTTCTCAGTTCCTCCTGGCAAATTCTAGCATATTATAATTTGATTGGGTCACGATCTCTTCCTTCCAAGGTTTAACAAATGAATCACTCTTCTATCATCCTCATCATCCTTCGCTCTGTCATCCTAATACTGAAAACGGCCCGTTAAATAACTCTCCGAAGAAAGACGAAACGTCTGCACTTATCGGCTCCGGCAATGGTGAAGTAGTGAGAGGTGTGACCGACAGATGTGCTCGTGTAGCGATGGATTTGCATCCCTTGATTTTTGGATGAGGATTATGAATTCGTGGAGAATTTAAGGGATTGGTGGAAGTCATTTAGGCTTACACTCTGTCATGATTGTTGTTCCAGAGTTCAAAACCTCGACCTTGAGTCAGAAATCGCTGTTTGCGCCGGCACGATCGATGGGTACAGGTGCCTCACACACACACCGAGCCCTTCTTGTCCAAAGAAAATAAACAGGAGTGGCAAGATACACTCTGCAGAGTAGCCACTCTGTTTTTATATTATTCTAGAAGCTTGCCTGCCGGTCACGGTAGCCGCACGGTCTAAGGCATCAACTGTCTTCGCTAGCTCGAACGCTGGGACCGTGGGTTCCAGTCCCAATCAAGGCATGGTTGTCTGTATTGTGTGAGTTATTCTGTGTTTGTGTTGTTCTGCTTGTAGGTAGCGGCCTTGCGACGGGCTGATCCCCCGCCCAAGGAGTCCTACCGACTGCGTATAGGATTAAGAAACTCGAAAGGCGTTCAAGGTCCAACAGAAGGACTGTAGAACCATAGATAGACAGATAGATAGATAGATAGATAGATAGATAGATAGATAGATAGACGGATAGATAGATAGATAGATAGATAGATCTTTCCTTACAATTTTGTATGCTGCAGTGGTCGCTTTTGTGGTTTACTGTACGGCACTGGCAGTTGATCAGAAAAAAATAGCGTGAAATTGTTGGATAATTGATGAATAATGAATTGGAAAGGATTTGGAAGGAAGCGATAGTGGCTCAATCGGGATCCTCTCCAGACATTTAACTAAAAGTACTGAAGACAACCACAAGAAACGTCAGTCTGGATAATGGGTGCAACAGCCGAGATTCGAACCAAGCACTTCTCGAATAGAAGTCCAGAGCGTTACTTCTGTACCAACCTGGCCACGCCATTTTGGCCTTTATATACGCATATTGCAAATACAGACGTTGTATTGTAAAGCCAGTGACACGGTACAGAGGCGTGAAGAAGTTCTTCTTCTTATGCTTCGTTAGATTCGCCGTAACGAAACAGGTTTCAGATAAAAGTTACAGCTCATGAAAGAGGTTTACATTTTAGCCCATGTAGCAAACACTTTCCAGGCCGATCTGTTTTTAGAAACTCGATAAAATTCGTTGCCAATTTTATCTACTTATGTGTTTTGCCTACATGACCTGAAACCAAATCCCCGCCCCTCAAAATAACTAAATCAAGTCCGTTTAATTATTTCGGATTTGAAACATTCGGAGAAGAACGGACTAGCAGACACAAGAACCTCCGTATTGTGCGTACATTTCAGACACATTTAACATCATGTAAGACACCGCATTCCTAGCAAGCGGATCTAGCGGTAATGCTGTGCATGTTTCTGGAGGTATTCGGTTCGAATCTCGACAGTGAAATCTCGGCTCAAATGTCTCGTGGTTTTACTTAGGTTCTCCACACAACTGCTGGTATAGTACGAGGAAGAGTCAGTATATAGGTCACAAATGGAAGTAAAACAGCTGTAATAGACGTAATAGGTTTTCTGTGTGTATCACTAGGTAGCAGCACAGTCCAGCTTCATGACAGTCTAGGTAGCAGACGCGCATGCGTATGTTCAGAGGCTAGTTTTAGTAGTCAAAATGACGGCCGTGCTTGAGGAATACAATACCGAAGAGCAGCGTTCTGTTGTGCATTATTTTTGTGGGCGAAGGGATTCAATACAAAGGATATTCATAAAGAAATGTTTTTTTATATATAATGGGAAGCGTTTGTCGTGTAAATCGATTCAGAGCTGGGCCGAAAAATTCTTTGAAGGACCTTCGAAAGCCTCAGATGATGAAACGGAGACAACAGTCGAAAGACTTCTATGCTGCGGGTTTCGACGCACTGGTAAATCAATGGGACAAGTGTATCAATGAAGAAAGCAGTCTTCTGGGATTTGATACCGTGTATATGTGGTGATAACCGACGTTTCGGAGGAACGTATCTCCTCCATCTTCAGGGTAGAAGGAAAAATATCAGAAATCCGCAAGCGAAGAGACCGTGAGAANTTCATCAGTAATCTGTCAAGACGACAGGTCCACAGTCTCTTCCAAAACAATTCCTCCATTTAATGCGATCTAGAGCTTTCTCCTTCAAATGACAGTATCCTCTTCTGTCCCCAAGGTCATCCAGCATCCTCTTACGTCCTCTTCCTCAACTTCTTGTCACTTCTATCCGCCCCTCTATCTTTCCTTCGGTAACTTCTTTTAGAAGGCAGTTTCTGCGTAAAACATGACCAATCCAATTAGCCTTCCGTTTTCTTATTTCGTGTAGGATATTCATCTGCTCACTGACTCTAATTAACACTTCTTCATTTCACATCCGTTTATGACATATTTACTGACTCTCCCTCGGATCTCGATTAGGTCAGCATCACTTGCTGCCAATGAATCTTGCTACCGCTCCACACCATGAAGTTTAACTGCATATAGTATCGTAAAACTGCCCCAAAGATTAGACAGTAAACTCATATTGACCGCTGTGAGAACCTCAAATCTGACATCTCTTTACATACCAGTTACTCCTTCTTCCTCGTCTCTTCCATACGGGATAATGTTGATCATTTTAAATTCAAATTTTAATTTCTGAATCTGCCTGTTGATACAAATCGAATGTGATACGTTCAGATATGAAGAATCAACATATTCGCGAGGCAAGTCTTGTTATCGATAGAACGTAACATATTGCTCTCCCACAGAACTCGGCTCCCTTTCGGTGGAGATCGGCTGTCGGCGTTCGGGTTCGGCTACGCCACAGCAAGCAAGCAAGCCCAGTTGTTGCAGTGGAGCGATCAAGAGATATGCATCGGTCGCGTGGGACGGCTTGGTTTCGTCTCCTGCTTGTCTTTGGGATCGCAGGCGCCCTGACCGAAGGCAATAGGACGGCCATGACCGCTTGTCACTACCAGGTCAGTTCTCATAACCAGACTCACCAGTTACGGTGAGAAAAAACTCGTCTATATATATACATATATGTATATGTTTGGGGTTGTTGCCCTTTGCCTCTGACGTTCCTAATAATTGCCTCATTCAATTAAAAGCTATCCCTGTAACAGGTCGTGGAGGCCCATAGGGTTGTGAGACGTCGAGGGTCCCACGTTATCTAGGCAATCGGCTAACAGAAGGCGGTGAGTTGTCAGCCTTACGCGTCGGCCCACTTTATCCCCAAGAAGATTCCTGGTACTCATTTCTGTTAAGAGGCTGAATTGACCCCAGGGCCATAGTGCGGCTGGAAGGATTAGGTGAACTGAAAAATTCAATGGCCTCATCGGGAATCGAACCTGCGACCTTCCGGCTTGTAGCATAGTGCCTGAACCAATTGCCCCTAGGTTTCATTTAATTGTGTTATTTATTTCCCATTCTACATGTCTTTTGAATTTATGTTCCCCATAAATTCAGACCTGAGACCCATCGAAGCCTCAATAATCCGAGCCTTACTGATATTTTAATAGTGTTCATTTACATTTCTCGGAGAAAGTAAAATATTATGTTTAAATTCTTATAGAAACTTCGTCCATAAGAGGTCTTCATCGTTCATTCATCAATGGCACCACAGCCCTTTGTTGGGCCCTGGCCTCTTCTTGTGTTTCGTAATCATTTTCTCGCAGACGGTAGGGCTCCTTGGACGGGGGATCAGCCCGTCGCCACCTGCACAGAAGACAACACAAACACAGAATAAGCGCACGCAAATACATCCATGCCTTGAGTGGGATTCGAACCCACAATCACAGCGTTCAAGCTAGCGAAGACAGTTCATGCATAAGACTTCTTATCTCATGGCAATTTCGAAGTACAGCATAATAAATCAGTTGGCATTTTTTCGTGTTTTGTTTAAATTTTAGGGCAGAAATTGCGTCTAGTTTTCGGCGTCAAATGTATTCTGATATTTTAGTGACCTGCAGTGAGGTGCATAACTGTACAGAAAGAATATGAAGAACTCTCAGTTCTACAGCCAGGGCAACCTCAGAGGCTGCGGCCTCCTATGCGTTTGCTGAGGTTTGGTAGTTGCGTGGGTGGTCACGCATGACGAAGCGAACTCTAGCGCATGGGTTCCCGAAGGGGGCGGGGAAGTTAGCCACGCGTATCCCCCGCTGTTCCAGGATTCTTGGGGGAAAACAAAATTGAATAAAGAAGGAAATACGAATATAAGGAAAGGTAATATGAAAAAATAAAAATTGGAAAATCTTGAACTAATTCTGTGGCCCCATCAAATTTTCAATGAGAAATGAAGTACTGTAGTTGGTTGAGACACTATGCTACAAGCCGGAAGGACGCGGGTTCGATTCCCGATGAGGTCATTGGATTTTTAAATTGACCCGTGAAGTAGGTGGTTAGTTCAGTTCAGGCAGTTCAGCTGCGGAATTGAGAGTTCAGGTGAGGAGTTTTAACCAGCGGGCAACGGCGTGACCACGGAAGCAGAAGAATCTCAATTGTTAAGAATCGCAGAGGAGTAGCCATTGTTGAGAGCTGTTTCCAAGCAACGACAAGTGAAAGCAGACTGAGAAGTCTTGACGTGGGGTGAGAACTGTAGGCCTGCGGGTCGTAGGGGGCAACGAAATGGAAACCCGGTGTCTAGGTGTATATCCGGGCCACCCTGTTCCTCCCAGGATGAGGGAGTCTCGAAACTGAGACAGTAAAATGTGGTCATGAGTCCCGCAGAATTCTGACCTGAGAATGACTGCTCTGGCGAGGATCAGCAGCAACTGTAAACGACATATCCATCCTCTCGTCAGAGAGGGTGTTACGTAAGGACTATAACCGCAAGTGTTCAGTTGAAAAATAAAAAATACTGGTCGTGAGTCTCAAGGGGCTTGACGCCAAGACGAACTGATTGGCGGTAAACATCCAGTCGTAAAGTGACTCTGCCTCTGACTCTAACTTGAAGTGATTTGTAGTGTGGAAATAAGAAACAGTGCCGTAATTACTTGTAATTCCAAGTGGCGTGTACAAGTTGAAAATAAATCCAATTCACCAATCCAAACCCCGTCTATAATCACTAATACAGGTAACAATATCATGCAAATTTCTTGGATCCTCAGTCAGTATGTGGTCGACCAAGAAATTTTATGTGATGTCATGTACTTCGGTTGATAAGTATACGCGTTTCGGCGGAATCTGCTGTCTCTATCCTCAGGATTTAACTGCTTATTGCGGGACACAAAGGAGTCATACCTAGCTGAATTTGGAACTGTTTTTGCCAACTGCCATTTTCTCTGAAGGAACATTGACAGAAGACTAGAGACACTCGCTTATACCTCGGCCAGTACAGCAGCTGACGACTGCTGAATTGAGGGCCGAGAACAGCTAGGCGCCTTAGAAATTGCGTTGCCATGAGACTCCTTAGAGAAACTGCCGTCTCACATGGCGACGTGAGGGCTGGAGCTGCACCGTAATACTGAAATGTGTGTTAACCGCGGTTCGATTTCAGCGAGACAGGTTGGCTGTATCGCGAGCTGCTGAGGTAGTAAGGTAGGCAGAGCGTGAAGCTAACCATTCATTTTAGTTTAAAAGTCTCGCTGTAGCGTCACTACACTACGAGCCGGAAGGAGGCGGGTTTGATTCTCCATGAGGTCACTGGATTTTTCAGTTGACCAAATGAGAATGTAAGGACTGCAGTTGGGGCACCTTCTTTAAGTCACATAAGAATAAATTGTTCCGGCCTATATAACCCATGCAGTTGTTCAAGGGTCGTAAAGTAAAACAGAAGTTCTTACTCGTGTCAACAAGAAGTCCCAGATTTACGCAAGCGCAGACACAAGTTCGACCTGTGTACCGAGGGAGCGGGGCTGCCCACATTCTGAGAAACAAATTGACCGACTTTTCTTAGGAGAACGGCAAACAACCCTTTTATTGGAGCATCATCAGGAGTGAATTTTTATCCACCGCCTAGCGCACTCGCGCAATTTCATAATACTGATCTCGAAAATTAAAACGCCTTCACAATTATTAGAAGTCACACATGATGTATTTTTTTTCCTTGGCAGTACAGCCCCAGTGGGCCTAGGCCTACCTCCATGAACTTCTCCGTTCACTTCGGTTTTTCTAGATCTTACACATTCGGTAGGACTCCTTGGGCGGGTGATCAGCTCGTCGCAAGGCCTCTACCTGTATACAAACACAGAAAAACGCACACACACAAACTAAACATCCATACCCTGAATGGGATTCGAACCCACGATCCCGGTTTCCAAGCGAGCGAAGACAGTACATGCCTTAGACCGCTGGGCTACCGTGACCGGCAGTCGTGATATATAGCATGTATTATTAGATATTGTTTGTGTCATAGCTTTATATAATTCTAGGCTGAATTATCAGGAAGTAAACTGCTATATAATTCTTAGTAAGTAGTAAAGATATTTCGTATTACAGATCGGTAATCCGGTAACTTTGACACATTATGTTGCATATTACTTAAAACACGTATCCCTGATGATCCCTTTAAGGGTCGAAATATGTTGGGTGTTTAACAGAGAAGTAATATCATTGTCCCGTGTGTTAGTGACTCCAGGACCGGTCACAGTGGTCTCGCGGTCTAAGACCAGCTCTGACGCTGGAATCATGGGTTTGAATCCCGCTCAAGGCATGGATGTTTGGTGTGTGTATGCGTTTATTCTGTTTGTGTTTAGATAGAGGCCTTGCGACGAGCCGATCACTCATCCAAGGAGTCCTACCGTCTCTGAAAAATGATTACGGAACTGAATAAGAGGCCTGGGCCCTGAATGGGCTGGAAGAGACACTGGTTCGGATTAGTAATTGGATTTATTAATCACTCACGAGTCGTAACTACAGCTAAGCATAACAGTCTCACCGGTTCTCTCACTGAATCTTCTCAGCGTGCTTTCACTAGTCTTCACTATCCGTTTCCTGGCAACGGATTTATCACAGTCTCGCCGTAACTTCAGATATCGCTGTAATCACAGCACACCCGGGTTAGATCTCGGGTATGGTCAAGTGGGATTTATGGGGGACAAAGTGGCGCTGGGGCGGGTTTTCTCCGAGTACTTCGGTTTCCCCTGCCAATTTGCATTCCACCAAATTCTCCATCATAATCACCCAGGGCAGGTACAATAGGCCAATCAGTGGCCGCCGTGCCGAGTGGACCCAACTGAACTCCACCCCCCACTAAGCGAATTTAAAAAGAAAACCACAGCACAAGTAAAATCACATCCTAAATCTTCGTGCCACAGTCTAATTCCTTGTAATTCCAACCTGTGACGTCACTGCGACTCTCTCTTCTCGCAAAAATCATGACGACTCACTGTTTGACACATTTCATCTTCTTCTGACTGCACACTCCACTTGAACTAGTATGACTTCCAAATTAGATCTCAATTCAAAGTCAAAGTCACATTGCGACTGACGGTCGGTCGGTCAGTCAGTCAGTCAGTCAGTCAGTAAATATTAATTATTCCCGTTTGACAGTTACGGTCCTTTTTTTTTCTGTGTGGCGCCCTCTCTGACGAGAGGACGAGTCTGTCTTTTGTATATGCTGCTGGGCCTTGCCAGTGCAGTCTTTCTCGGTTCCGAGTCCCTTTGGATTCGCGACCATATTTTACTGTCTCAGATTTGAGACTTCCCTTTTCGTCGCCTCCTACGACTCTCAGGGCTTGATGGCTTCTCATAGCCTCGGGTCTGACATAACAGAAAACATGTCCATTGCTCATTGTTGCGTATTCGTTTCACCTCGGTGAGTGTACAAGCACTGCTGCTGTTTAAATGAGTTGCTGGAGACGAATTCGTTTCTTCTTGGGTCAAGGAATTCTGTTTGTAGGAAACTTTTTATCGCCTTTCATCTTTAACGCCTACCGTATGCAGGCATAATTGTGTCTCTTATGTCCTGTGGAGTGTGGTTTAGTGAACACGGTAATGGGACCTCGGCACTGCCCCACGCAATAGAAAGCTTTCAGAC